GAGCCGCAGCGGGGAGGGAGAGGAAGGCGGCTGCTGCTGCTGCTCCTGCCGCCGCTACCGATCTTGTCCTGGGGGCTTCAACCGGGCACTGATGCCGCAGTCGGCTGCCGAGAGGCGGCTGGGCTGTCTGCGAGTCGGTCCCCCGCTTTTTCGCGCACACGTACACACACAGCCGCGCGCGCCAGACACACTCGCACATACACACACCCAGGCTGGAAAGCACAGGGCGCCCCCGCTGCCGGATCCCGCTGGATCACGGGATCCGCTTGGCTGGGAACTGACGAGGGGCGCGAGGAGAATTCACAATCACCCCCAGCTCAGCAGCTCACTGCAGCTGGCCGTGATGTCAGAGGCACCACTCTTAAAGGGACCGGCGGTCCGGAGGGCGCTCGCAGGTTTGCCTGCTCAGCCGGTGTCTGACTCTGTGTGTGTGTGCTTGTGTGTGTGGAACTGGGGCGCGCGTGTTTATGTGAGTTGCGTGCGGAAGAGATCGAAATGAGAGGGAAATGCACACGACAGAGACCGACGTAGTGAAGGGAGGAGGTTAAAGCGCAGGTCCTAACGTGGGAAAATCTTAACATTCACCAGATTTCGGCCATTTACTCTCATATTCGTTTCATGTAGGTGACTGTTCAACTGGACCGTCAAAGAACGACTGCCGTGAAAATGTAAAAGTCCGGCGATTCTAAACTGTGTATATTATAGATTTCGTGCCTGTGTGCTCTTGGGTCCTAGACTGCCAGCCACCCTGAAGTTCTTGAGTTAGGTCGAGCTACCGTTTCCCAATTCCACGCCACAAGCTCAGGGTGTGTGCGCGTGTGTGCACCGCTTGAGTGATAGGCAGCAAATTAAAGCAAGAGAACGATTTCAATCAGAGAACCCTTTACATCCCTCCGAAGAAGGCAGTCGTAACCATCAAACAATTTAGAAACGATCAGAAGCTGGACTGAATGTTTAGCCAGTCCAACCTTGGAGAGAGGGAATTCCTCTGACCCCCGACTCCATCGATCTGATCTCTTTGGGGAATATTACTGATATTTGCAGACTTTGGTGGCTCTCAACATCCCCTTTTCTTCCCTGTACTTCATCTAAGAGAAGCAATAGAGGGTGCCCTCAAATTAGGCTTTAATTGTGCCCTGGCTCTGCTGCTTCATTCACAGAATTCTTCACACACCCCAGATTCTTCACACACCAGAGCCCCAGATTTTTCACACACACACACACACACACACACACACACACACACACACACACAGGATATCTTCCTACTTCTCTTATCAGGAAAAGGGAAAAAGAACTAATTGCAGAGGAAAAAGCCAGAAGAACAGTGTATTTGGTAAGAGCTCCCCGTCTGGTAGAACCATCTAGAGGAAATAGAGGTTTAATACAGAGACTTTAGAACAGGAATTCCCAGGACTGAGCAAAAAGAGAGGGGAGTCTAGATTCTAAGTAGCTCAGCCTGGATTGCTTGAACTGTTGGGACCTCTTGGGCATAGAAAATAAATATGGAAAAGTGGAACGCAAGAAACCTTTATGTTCGCTAGGTGGCAAGAGGAGAATTAGAAGGATAGAAGGATAATCTCCAAACTAAGCAGGTGGGATATTCCCCAAACTAAACTGATGGAAAAGAAAGAAATACTAAGGCCCTAGTTTGGATTAAAGTCTATACACATCTTTTATTTTATTTTTCCAAGGGATGTATCAGAGGGACCAAAGCAACATGAGAATTTTTAGAGCAGACTGTCTAGACCAGTGGTGCTGCTAGAACCAGACCTGTTTAATCCAAAACACCACAGATTCAGCACCATTTCAATAAACCAAACAAGCAGAATTTTATCCAGCCTTTCCCCTCTTGGTAAGAGGAATCAGTAGATCCTCAATCAGTTTGCCAGAGAGAGATAGACAGAGAGGGTAGAAGAAAGGGTATGATAGAGAAACACAGAGAGGTGTTTCCCTATTCCATTTCATTCCCGTCCCATCCACATGTTTATCTCTCCAAAACTGAGGCAGTCCTGGAGAACAACAAAATCTAGTCTGGCATCTTTGTTCCCACACTGGCCATCGAGAAGTTTTTGTCCAAAGCCCATAAGCCTAAAATACTGTATCCCAGCATTTAGCCTGCTATGCAAATAATACTATAAGGAGGTGAGGGAAGGTGATGACCAAGATGGCCTGGGGACTTGGATGTTTCAGCACTCCGAAAATGGCCTTCCTGGGAGGAAAAAGGGTGAGTTCAACTCCAGGTGTGGGGCTGAAGGAAGGGTGATGGGGACAACAGCATACAAAGCTTTCACAAAACATAACATATGCATACAGGTCTATTAAAAAAGTCTTCGTTCTCTTCTGGATTTTGCTAATTTTTGCATAAGCCCCTGAATGTTATCTGAGCTTCATGTGTGTCCTAGTGATATGTAAAAGGAACTATGAGTGAACAAATAACACCAAGGCTGATACTTGTTTTATTTATTTCATACATAAAGTTGTCCAACTTCCAATGTGCCAGTTTGAAAAAATAGACACCTCCCTGGTTCAGTCTGTTCGGTTAAAGGAGGACACCTGGTAAGTTCTTCATGAAACCATCAGAGCTAATCTGGGCCTCTCCTATGTAAATTTCATGAACTTTGGCTCCATTCATCACAGAGAAGATCTCACTACAGAGATTCCAGAGGCATGTCATACTTCCCTTAAAAGAAATTTCCAAAGGCCTCTGTAAGAAGAAGTTGATGCCTATCAGTCTGGTAAGGTAACCAACCTGTTTCTCAAGTTCTGGAGGTCTGCCAATCCACAGTCAAGACCTAGGATGTTTCTTCATGGTTGGGTTCACCTGCGTTCCTCCAGTCCTTAACTCAGCAGAAAACTCAGCTGGGATTATTTGCACTGCCCGGAGGGCTGAATTCTACGCAGCCGAAATACAAGGCCTGCAAGTGATCCTCTTCTTACACTTTTACTGCAGGACAATTTAGAGACAGCAGTTGGAGGTTCCCCTCCTTAGTCTCCTCTTCCACATGGCATCACCAGCTGGTGAAATATGTAGCTATGACACTGGGCTAGAAACTGGGAGACCATGAGTTCTAGTTCCACCTTAGGCTCAAAGCCAGGTGGGTGACCTTGGGCCAGTCACTCTCCCGCAGCCATAGGAAGAAGCAGGCAAGGGCGAACCACTTCCAAAATCTTGCCAAGAAAACTGCAGGGACTAGTCCAAGCAGTCACCAGGACTCAACAATGACTCAATGTCAAACAACAAAGTGGTGGGGGCCTTGGGCAAGGGTGAGCAAGTGCCTGGGATGGAGGCTGCAGACACATTTCAGTGACAGGTTCAGTGACAGGTTGAGGGTGCAAAGCTGCTCTCATTGGTAACTTGTCACTTGGGCCATTTCTGAACATAAGTCTACTGGCCTTCTGGTAGACCCTCGTCCAAAAACAACCTGGCTGACAGGTCAGTTGGGCATGGGAGGGGTGCAAGGTGAAGGAGGAACATGATGCTTTTTGAAAGACATCCTTCCCACTTCATCTCAGGCCTGTTCTTTGCCAGAATGGCTTCTCAACCAGGATCTCTTTGGTCTTAAGTTTACTAGTAAGAGAAACTGGCAAAACAGTTGTCAATTTCACCCCAGCGGCATCACAGATCAGTTAAGTACCGCAAGGGACTGGAAATATACTTGGGAGTACACAAAAATGATGCCCTACCTC